GATGAGAGAGATGAGAGAGATGAGAGAGATGAGAGAGATGAGAGAGAGAGACAGTGAGACAGTGAGACAGTGAGACAGTGAGACAGTGAGACAGTGAGAGTGAGCGAGTGCGGCCGCAAGATACGCAACGCTAACCGCATGCCAAAGAGCGACGACAGGACGGAGTCGAACTTGCGAAGAGGGAGGAGGGAGGGAGGGAGGGAAGGTGGGAGGAAGACAAGGAGGAGGAGAGGGGAGGTGGGGTGGGGAAAGGGGAGAGGGGAGGAGAGGGGGGGGGGGGGGTGGGGGGGGGGTCTTCGACCTGAAAAATCAGGGTTAGGATTTGCACCCGGTCGAAAGAAACCTTGCTATCGCAAGAGTAACTCCAGCTAGCTTCGCTAGCTTTCGTGATTTGAACTGGCGAGTCGATTGCTGGACACCGCCCAGCCATGCTTCAATCACCACTCCCAGCTGATGAATACCAAGTTTCTCTGGCAACCCAATTGAACTACATCTGACGAGGCGGTATTCTCTGGAATCAAAAACGTCCTATCCACCTTCCTATCCCATCCACATCCCCCTTGTCTCCTGGCCTCAAACATCAACTCCTCCGCTGCCGCCTCCTCGGCCAACGCCTCCTCCGTCAGCCGGTGCTCCTCGTCCGCCGCGGCCTCCTGGCGCGCGCGAAGCCGTTCCGCGCCTCCGAGAACCGGGCGCAAGAGTTCGGTTCCAAGAGTCTCTTGTTACACCTGTTACTAGTAGCGTGGCACTTGTTTCTACTAGCTTCTTGTTATGTACTAGAAGCAGGAATGCTCCTAGTAGTACGGCCAGGAGCCCCTAGTAGCGTCCTTGCTCCTGTCGTGATGGCTTGTGATGGCGAACAACATGAACCTGAAACACATTCCGACCCGGTCAGGCGGCTAAGAAGACTCATAATAAAGGTGCTCGCCTGGGGATTGTTGCCCTTCTTGTCGCCGTCGGTGCCGTTGTGGTTGTGATGGTTGTTTTGTGTAGTCAGTGGTGGTGTCAGTACTCAGAGTACTGGTGCCGTTGTTAGATACATCTTTAACACCAACCTCTCCCCTCGCCTCAGCTCGCCACAGGTCATCCTCATCTTCGAAATCCTCAAAGTCCGCGGAGCCCGAGCTGCTGATCTTGTCCATGCTTGGCGGCCATGCGGAGAGGATAGTTATAAAGTTCTGTTTTGATCAATGTCAAACTACTGAGAGTTAGCAATTAAACAATGTCAAACTACTGAGAATTAGCAACGTTGTTCCAGTTATATCTGGGAGGTTGTAGTAATTTATAAGTATATATACTGCTGTCTTGTTTCCAAACACTATAAGGGTGCTCATGCCCTTGTCCAAAGCATGACTGTCGTCGGCCAGAATCTCTGGCAACCCCTTGACAAGGTGATCGAAGCTCCTGATAGGAGAAAAGAACATGTCAAATGATGTAGAAGGGGAAGTTTCTTCATGACACCAGTGAAATCATCTCAAAGGCATCGGCGAGTCAGACCTCATGTGCCATTGAGCCATGTCTCTCTACTTTCATGTGATTCTTGAGGCGGCACGTGCGCAAGAAAGACCATTGGCTGAATCCTGTACTGCACAAGAAGTAGATAAGAATCACTAGTCTTTAAAAAATAAAACTTTGCCTCAAAAGCTTCTGCCAAATCAATCCTTCAACCTTAATCCTTCAAGCAGGGTGCTTGATAGTTCGTCAAGGTTCTCGCTCAAAATCATTATTTTTGATAGCCCAAACAGCCTGGAGAACCACACCAGAACCACACCACATGTCTATTCTGCAACCAGCCCACACACAATGCTAGTATGTGCCACTGATCACATGATATCACATACCATAGAACTCAGCCATGATTCTAAAGAATGCTCGTTCAATGACTTTTTGCATAATAATAAATGTTTCCATGGCCCGACGCTACTAGTAGCTCCTGGCATTACTCCTGGGAACAAGAAGCTAGCAGTAACAAAGGGCGTTGCTACTATATAGGAGAAAGAAGCTTTATTTCTGAAATGCTCTCCTTGCCTTTTTCCCAACTGGACCCAATGCTCAGCCCTCCTTCTAACACCCCATCCGGGCCCATTCGCGGGCCTGCAATACATGGATGGAACCATCTTCAGCTCCCGCGATCAATGCGTAAGCACCTCTGATGGTCCACGGACGCTGTCCAAGGTCGAAAAGCAACCAATAAAACAAAACACATTGGCGGTGTTCATCTCCCGGGTTGGTTCATTGCCCCATGAGATCCCATGAGCCAACTATAGAATGAAAGCCTCAATACCCTCATTTCATCTCATTTCCTTATCCCATCCGGGTGAAGCTCCCATCAGCCTGTGAAACTTCCATCCACGCCCAAAGATGCTGACGGGTGAAAAATAGCCGTCGTCAGCGAGGCCCTGATGGATGGAGCCGTGGTGCCCGTGACAGGGAGGCCTCAAAGCAAGGTGCCACTTTCAATTTCACAGACTTCGAGGTCGAGTCCCTTCGAACGAACACTCTAAGTTGTGAAGTCACTAAGTAAAACATCATCCTTCCGTGGGAGGGAAGTGATCACATTCCTAGCATCCAAGATCCCGGAGCTTTAAGGCTTTGCGAGGAAGGTCTACAAACTCCTTCATCTCACTTGAAATTGCTCCCGTGTCAATATCTCTGATACGCCATGTGGTCCGAGACTGGGCGGGCCGCGCTCTCGTAGCCTCTGAAGGGGACATTCGGAAAGCGCTCCAAGAACCTGGCTGTAAGGACCAGTCCACCACCAAGCTATTCTGCACCTTTGACTTACCTGCCTACCTCCTACCCCTTCGGCCACACGTTTTCGCGATATCACAACTGCAATCACTTGGAGCTGCCTAAGGGAAAACCAGAAGGATTAAGCAGCTTGAGCCCTTCTGCTGCTGATCGACCATGTCCTTAGGAATTGTAGGGCCTTTTGCTGCTTGAGTCCCACAATGTCCAATTCTTCCAAGCCAATGTTCCACACCCAATTCCTTCCAACCAAGCGAGCCGCACCCTCGCGCCGGCGGCCCTTGCTTGGGCCAAGCGATGCAGCCCAAGCCCCGAGAAGGATTGAGCCCTGACCTGGCGCAGCGTGACACGACGGCCGATGCCGGTGGAGGTGTCAACGCCACCAACCGCCACGGTTGGTCCACCAGTCCCAAGCAACAAACGCAAGAAACAACACAAAACGCAACGACCTTCACATGTGGCTGTAGCGGGGTACTGGAGTTGAGTGTGGTAACCTATTGTTGAGAGTCAGGAAGACAGCCAGAGGCTTGTTTAGTTGATTCTTTTTTTTATGATTTTTTTAATGAACATTTTATGAAAACTAATTGGTCCTCAATTTTTGGAGATTTCAATTTTTTGATGTTTATGATATGTTTGTGTTGTTTAATGATTTGTTTATGATATTTTTATGAATTATTTTATATTTTTTTATGATTTTTATGGATTTCCACCAAATCAGAAAATCAACAAAAGTCAAAAAAAAAAAAAAAACATAAAATTTTCATAAAATATTCAATATTTTTTTCATAAAAATTTCATACTTTTTATGATGTTTTTTATGATTTTTTTTACGATTTGCCGAGAATCGTAAAAAATCATAAATTTTATGAAAATTTTATGATTGTTTAATGAAATTTTTATGAATATTTTATGAATTGTTTATGATTTTTTTATGATTCTTTTATGAAATTTTTTAGATTTGTTGAGCACATCAAGAAATTAAAAATAATTTTGTGAATTTTTCATAAAGTAAAAACCAAACATTTTTTGTTCATAAATGCGTTTCGTAAAATTTTCATAAATAAATCATAAAAAAAAATATGTTGAAAAACATATTCCCTAGCCTCTCCCCAACTCACAAACCTATTGAACTACTCAGTGGGGGAACTACATGGAGCTACCATCCATGAAATCAAAGTCAAACGCGTTTGTGCTCATCAATCGTGCATCATGGGGACCCTGCCCATGTTCAAGAGCAGAAATGCGAGTGAACAGCACAACCCCAAAACACACCAGATAGTCATATCAGTCCTTATTCATCACAACTGCGCGTTCGGACCTTTCAGCGCCGACGCTGAGGAAGGCCAATGCCTTTGTCTTCAAGATTCCTTAGCCCAAACGCCCACCCATCAAAACGTCATAAAACACACCGTAAATCTGATCGAAATCTAAATCTGCGGGCTCCGATCTTGTACCAGATCACCAACTCTCATCAGCGGTTGGTCCTTCTACGACCGAACCATGTGTGGCGCAAGCCGTTGAACCATCTGAGCCGAAGATCTATCGATGTTCAAGACCCGCGAAGCTAAGCTGACAGGAGCTCGCAATAGGGGAGCCATCGAAATGCCTCGGGTACAGCAGCACCATTTCACTGGCAATTCCTTGTTTTTCCGTACACTGAGTTGATTCCGACTCCCAATTCGCGACCTGGGAACATCTCTAGCTCTGCCAATACCGAATGCATCATGGATTGAGATTGAACCTTCTGAGTCGACACTGCACAGGTTACACCAGCACCTCTGTGTGACATTTCCCAAGGTCCACACGTGTCCAAACCGTTGGTCCTCTTCAACCCTGACGCAGCCCCCAATCCATCCTAATATATTATCCTAATCCTAATGAAATCTTCTTCGTTGCCCTTCACGATGTTCAATGCCTACTCTTCGGCACACGAAAAATCACGCAGGTAAAGCTTTAAGCAAAGCCTGAAGTTCAAAACAACGCCCACCACCACCATCTCCACTCATTGCAACTTCTCCCGGCAGCCACTGCAGCCACTGCAGCCGCCCGCCAAGTTGCTGCGGATCCCACCCACATGCCCCGCGCGCAAGGCCACGTACTGACCCGAGCTCAAGTGGATCACCTGCAGCACAAATGGGCGCGGGGCGTTGCAGTTCATCGCTCAATGATGGCTATCGGTTGGGTCTATCGGATCTATCCAGTAACAGCGGGTTGTTGTTTGTTTTCCGCTTTCCTCCTTAGTGGAACTCGGATTGAGCTCCAAGACGACTAGTCAGCTGAAGCGGTCAGGTGAAGCCTACCCCTACGTACGAATTGGCAGGTGTGGCGGTGGCACGAACGAACGGATGTTGGATACCAGTCACAGTGGGGGATGATGGGGCCTGGTTGCAGGCCTTCTTCAAAAATGGTGATACAAATGATAAGGTCATTGTCTACTCAGCTGTTACAGGTAATAGGACAGACCCGAGCCATCTCTACGACCCCATGCTGTAGTTGAGAACTGGGACTGTTCATGACTGGTGAAAGCTCAAAGGCTGGGCTGAGCTTTAGTTCATCGAAGTGCACTGGATTTCTGGGGTACGTGTGGTGGATCAGCTTCGTCATTGATGCTGCCTGCTGTTTAGGACTCAGCGGTGGGGGATTGGATGCTGAACACGACTGAGGTTGCTACTCCATGTGTGGCGTCATCAAAGCACACACAGGCATAGTCCTGATTGCTTCGAAGTGATCAGGCATTCACCTCCTCATGAACCTTCAATATATTTCAACACAATATATATATATACAGCGAGTACCCGTGCAAGCATGTGCTGTTGCCAAAAACTATATCGACAAGGAGAATGCGCTTAGCAACAAAGGGGGCCGCCACGACAGTTGGGCTTGGCATACAACATCATAAAACAATGCAGATCGTCCTTCCAAAACCCAGCCGGAGATTCACGGTCCTCATTAGCCCCAAGGGTCACCCAAATGACTTTGGGTGGCAATCCATCGTAGCAAAGCTGTGCGGGGCATGGCCAGCGCTTCCAATGATCGGGGCCTGGACACTGAAAACACGGATCGCTTCTACAAGAGTAAGTCAATGCAACGAATGCAACGGTGAGTGGAAGTTTTGGGCACATGTCGGGCGGTGATTAAAATCTGGCAAAGGTGGAATAACGGATGTTTGTTTTGAACAAGGTGGAACAGCGGATGTTTGGTTTGAACCGACTGGGTGTGTGGCATGGATTGCGAGACAGCATCAGCGACCCATCTTCAGATCCAATGCACCTCAGGCACGTACCGACCGACTTGGAGGGGATTGACATTGTACAATTGTACATGTACATGAGTATCCATGAATGCGCACGTTTGGATACATGGCGGCCTCTTGCTACAATGACCGCAGAAGGACAAAACAAGTTTGATGGCCCAGGGCCTAGCAGGACCTGTGGACCTGTGTCTCTCATCATTGCCCCCAACATGCCCGAAACTCATCACTGTGCCAACAAGTTGCACAGTGTTACCTTTCACATCGAAGCATCTCGGTTGCATTGGGGTCTGAGCTACCTGGCGGAAGTTCTCAAGGCAGCACAGGTCAAATGTTCCGCATGCTTTGAAGTTTAAAGCAACCAAACTCGAACGACCTGGGCCTACACTGAAGTCAGGGAAACTGAGATTAGCTGCAGCAGACTTGGCGCCCAGAACCATGATTAGCAAGACGGTTGGGCCAATAGCCAATCATAGCCAATCGGCCAATCATGATGATTCTTGTAGTCACAATTCTAAGTATCCCATACAGGAATACTCTCCCGCGCGTTCATGAAGATGTGCACTCCGGTCAAATGCTCAGAAGATCTTTAAGGTGAATGGAAAGCACAATCACTCATTTACGATCTTCTTCCCAGCTTCATCCTTTCAAGCTCAACTGAGGGGAGTGGAGCGAAAAGAGCCATCATGGAAGCCAGCTGGCCTGCACCCGCTCCCCCTGGAAGTTCACTACCTCAGTACACTTGATGAGACAGTCAAGACACACGGTCCCGGGGGTTCCGTTCTTCGCCTGGTGGGTCCTCTTTATATTAGTTATAGGTGCCTCCGAAGCCGAATGAACAGCTGGAATAGCATCATTGACAGCAATGGGCTCCAACCCAATGGCGATGGCCTCCAACCTACCAGCGATGGCCTCCAACCTGGAATGACATCAATGACATCAACCCTACTATCAACCCTCTATAACCTCCTTCTAATTGCCCCTCTCGTGCACATCCCTGGGCCCTTCGAGAAGGGCGACTCGATTCCGATCGCCTGTGCCGACCTGTATTGAGGTCCCTGGCCTGGAGCTTTCCCTCCTTTGGAAGCAGATAAGCCAGGCGCCCCTCAACCTCGAAGCTTCGCAAGGGCTTCGGCAGATCCACGCGCAAGACCTGCAGGAGCTTGTCTCGTGGAGCTTGTCTCGTGGAGCTTGTCTCTTCACATGGCCATTCAGGCGTTTGGCTTCAGTTTCCAGACGAAGCTTTTGGGAAGCGTAGCTGCCAGTAGCAGTGTAGCTACTAATTGTGGTTTGAGAAAGGATATCACCTACTCACCCTCTGAGCTTGAGAATGGTTGCCTGGCCAGGGAAATTTCTCTCCCAGCAAGACTCGGTGGAGTCAATGATTGTTGCACCAGGAGTTCCTAGGCCAAGCAGTACTACCTAAACCCCACATCCAATTCAATATCTTCCAGCTATGTATGGTTCGTCAACCCGCCCTCAAACCTGTGAAGTGCACAGCCTCCCCTGCCCGTGTGACGCGCGCGAAGTAGCGCGCACGGCTGCCTGCTGAAAGGTGCCACGGCGACCGGCATAACTCCAAAAGTGCACAGCCTCCGCCTGTGGGATGAGGCCTTCCTGTGGGGCAATGCATTTGGTGCATTCATAAATTAAATTCCATTCCACTCGGGCGGGTCGTTGCACAGGTAAAAATCCAATCCAGGCGGGTCGTCTGCGGCAAATCCTTCTTGATTCATCTCTGACTACGATGGTCAAGCAACAACAAAAAGCATGAAAAGCAAACTCTACCTGCACGGTCAGCCATGGTTGATGGATGGTGCTTTCTACCACCACACCCGTGTTGGAAGCCATCGCTATTAGGTTGGAGGCCATTGCTATGTGGTTCTCAGCCGCCTTCAGAAGCCCTCAGCACCTCGGCCACGGCAAAGTGTCGGCCATCGTCCAGCAGCCGCACCGCTTGCAGCTGTGACTCCGCCGCCAAGGCAGCGGAGGTGATGGGCCGGGGGCCTCGAGAAGAGTGAGGAAACTGCTGAAGATGCGATGCGCCTGGCTGCACCTAAAGAATGAGACAAAGCTGATGAAATTTGAAATGTTGCACCTGCCTTGGCCTTGTTCGAGGGAACCACGTTTTTCTGGATTTCACGAAAAGGCATTGGGGCATTGACAAGGCTGTTTCACAGCCAACTTGCAATCCCGCAACGAGTCATTAGCACTGAGCCTACTGATCGAAGAAATGAAGCCTAGGGGGCTCCAATCAGCTTCCTTCCGGAGCATACCTGGATCTCAGCGTAGCTGCCGCCCTGAGCCAGTGCAACTGCTTGCTCCCATGAAGTAATGCTGAGGCCTGCTCCAGCCGGTGTCTCTGCTGCACATGGCCTGAGACCTCCTCAGCCCATGCGAGGAGAAACTCTTCCACTTCCTCTTGACTGAAACCAGACCATTTGTCCAGGAGCAAGAAAGCATCAGGTCGAGGATCGGTGGCTGCCAACTCGATCACGGTGACTGACCACTGCATCTGCGAGCCTTTGGGACATGCTTGTGGCTCGAGGTCTGAGCTAGTGGTGCGTGCCAGGCGCACGAGTCGAAACAAGGTCCCCGCTGGATAGATCACATCATCCCCGCCACCCTTCAAAGACATGTGCTCAGGGTAGCTTGGGGAGCGCGAATCCGTCTGAATGGCCACTAACACGTTGGAATTCGTCTGCACCAAACGCTTACCTGCATCCCATCTGGAGGCATACGCGGTGGGAAAAGACAAATGACTGAGAACAAACCACATCCCGGCATCAAGGGCTAAAGGACTTTCACCATCCTGTTTCTCTTTGGCCCTGACAGCCGCTCTTTCATACTCATCCTTCCTTGCCAAATACATATCAATCAGCTGCTGCAAGCCTGATGCTGGGAGGGCCAAGGGCCGAAACGTCACTCCCTCGTGTTTGACTCCAGTTCGGCGAAAGAAGCAGGTTGCTGCTTGCACCAGCTGCGCCATCGGGGAGAGTGACTTGATCAGCTCCTGAAATGGAAAAGGCACCGAGCAGGGGTCTGCGTCCTCTTCTTCCAAGTGACGCAACACGTCGGCAATGGCATCAATGATGTGGGGTAGCCATGATTCCCTTGTGTAAAGCCAAAGCACTCCTAGATAGAGTTGTCGCAAGCTCCCTGGCGTTTTTGTGAGCTGTGCCATTCTTCTTGCATTGATGTGAGTCTGCCAAAACTCCTCCAGCTCGCTCTCGCCGCATTGGAGCATTGCTTCCAATCTTAGCCTCTGCCAGCGGGCTCGTAAGTCCAAAGTCTTGGCGAAGCCCTTCCAAGGCGCTTCCACGGTGTACCTCTTTGCAGGCTGAAACATGGCCCTCCCCCCCCAGGGCTGAACCTGCTTACTAGTAGCTGGCATCGCTAGGGTTGGAACCCGGGCATCGCTACTAGGAACGCAAGGACGCTAGTAACGAAATATTTCAATGACCCGAACCTAGGTGGCCCAAGTCGTCCTAAGGCCCTCTAAGGCCCTAAAACCATCTAAAGCCCCATCGTATCGTACCCCAACCACATGTGTTGACTTGTGTGTGTGTGTGTGTGTCCAAAACCCAGATCACCTGGTTGGCATCCACAAGGTGTTCATCAAAAGATCTTCTGCTCGATGCAGTCCATCAAATGCTTCACCTAGTGCCTGGCCAAGTGCAGATTCACACTCCAGTGCAGGCGGCCAAATGTGTTCCACCAAGGCACCCCCTGTGGTGACCTCTTGGAGGACTTTCTTTGCACGGCTCCTCTCTTTGGAAGACACCTCCGTAAAGTCCACTAAAGCCAGAAGACCACCAAAGGTTCCTCCACTGAGCTGACCAAAGTATTGCTGTTCAGCATTGAGCTGCAAGTCTCCGAAGACTTCCAGAGCTCCACAAACTTCTTCGCAGCCGCTTTGGGCTGCTAAGGTTCCAGGAGACTCCCCAGCGTTGTCCACGAAGTCTGTCACGTTCACATAGCGATTGGCCAATTGCAAGCGATCCAAAACCAACAGGGTGCTCAACAAATCTCCACCTGGAATGGACACCGAGAAGTGCCCTTCAGAACAACTGCAAAATTTCCAGAGTATTATAATGAAGCCCCTTCAATGTCGCATGTGGGGGAGGCACCTTGTGTGTAGTAGCTCCCACCCCAAAAAAGCTACGGGTTCCAATAAAATATATTAAAATATAGGTGTTTGGTTTGGAACAGACTGTGGATGAATGATGAATGATGATGAATGATGATGAATGACTCTCGACTTCACACTGCTTCACCTTCAGCTGCCCGATGAAGTGCCATGCGCCCTCGACTATCAGCCGCCGTGGGATCTGCTCGATGGCTCAAAAGCAGTTGCACCGCGGAGGCCTCACCGTGTTTGGCCGCGGCGCCCACCAGTGTCTCGCCGCTGATGTCGCGTGCCACGCTCAAAAGCCGAGTCACCTCCTCAGCCTGGTAGCGCGTCTCGTCCGTCTTGGCATGAGCATCTTGGATCATCTTCTCTAAAATGACCACATCCCCCACACGCGCCGCACGGAAAATCTCCCGGGAGTAACTCACCCCAAGCGCCGTGAGCAAGGAGGGCTCCTCCTGGCTAGTCTGTTCAAACTCTTCTGGCAAACCTGGAGGAGAACAGCGCGCAGGTGCCAGCACCCTTGGCGGTGTTGCACCTGTAGCCGTTCGATCCACCAAGGGTCCATCGGGTTCCAACATGGCCACAGCCCAAGGAGGCACCGGACCTCGTGGTGTTGGTGTCTCGTCATCCCACGGGTGTGGGAGATGTTGTAGTGGCTCTTCACGGCTGAGGCAACCTGCCCAAACGTAGCCTAGGCTCAACACAAACCAAGACCCGGTTTGTAGAATCGTCGACTTCTGGCTCCATTCAGCTTCACCCCTCTTTTATGTGACATTCTCGCGTATACAAAAACAGAAGCCAATGAAGAATCAACTGCCATCGAGTGGCTGCTGTCTAGCGTATCTTCGTCGCAAGTATGGCAGGACTGGCAGTCCAACTGGCGAACGACCTCGACCGAGCATCCGGAACCCATGCAGACGCGCCGAGGAAGACCGGCACGGCTCAGGCACCATGGCGACACATGGCGCACAAGAGCGACACTTGGGAAGCAGTGGATCTGTGCGACGAGCGACACTTGTGTCACAGCATCCTAGAGGACACAAGATCCCTTGGCGTGTCAAGTAGTTTGTTTTTGAAGTTGGGAGATGGCAGGGCGCTGTGATTCGACTCTCCATCTGCTGCGTCAATTGTCTATTGGGGCTTACTTTGCTGCTTCCGTTGCTCCAAGTACCTTTGTTGAAATTTGCGTGGGATGCCTTTGGAACACCTTTGCGGATGTTTCAGCCATCGACACCTGGGAGCCATCCCTGTCTGCGGTCAAGGAATGATCGTCAGAAAAAAATGCATCGAAGAGTTAGCTGCCATAGCTTGCCATTCTTCCCCGTTACGCAAGCCCTGAAACATATGAAGATGCCAGAATCTGGCGGCATAGCTCGTGGAGAGCCACTGGGTGGGGGGACATGTCAGACATGTTCAAGTCTGGGTTATACATTTAGCAATGAAGAAAACGCCACGGCCAGGTACGGCATTCCAAATGAAAAAAGGAAAATGGCACATCATCTCAAGACTTCACAGCAAATCTCAGCCGCCAGCTCAGGCTGTCATCCACAACCGCCACAGAGGCTGAGAAGGCCTGGAGTAGCAAATCCGTCTGACCCTTTAGTATTACAAAAGGATTAAATGCCTGTAGCTGATCCGATGCCATTTCATAGGATGGCGGCTGAGTGCTTGGTTCGATGTCTAATGCTTTTGGTCTGCTCCTTTCTACCCGTGGCATGTCGTGCTTCCCACTGAAACCCAACATCTGTAGGAAGACATTGGAGAGAGCAGAGGCGGCATCCTCCAAGTCTTGTGCATATCATACCCTCCATGCCAGGTGCATAACACCATCCACGGCTTTATATAAATGCAGCTTCTCCATGTTTATCACAGTTTCCCAGTTCTTGCAGTGGGATTCTGAATGCACTGGACGGAACTTGGACTGGGGTGTCCAGTCAAGGGTCATTAGGTTAGAAAGTTCTGGCCAGTCACATTTTGGAGGTGTCCTTTGAGCCAAAGGAACTGAGATGCCATGGAGGATCACCAGGTGCTGGGTCTCACGGTGGAAGTCCACCTCAGCCACACGTCCGGGACTGCACAAACCATTCGACCAGTAGGCCTAAACCAGAGTGGACACAGGCAGGACCATACATCGATGTGTCAGTGTGATACCCACATATGAGAGACCAAGATGTATCAAAAAATGGACCATGTTGGAGTGTGCTGGGAACATGGCGTGCAACATTTCACACTTGGAGTGTGCTTCTAATGCTGACCATTTCCAGCTTTGCATCCGCGCATAAATCGGAGAGCATCCCGCCAGGTCAGACAAGGAATGCTCCGCCGCCTAGCAGGGCGGAGTTCAAACACCTTTCAGCTTCCGATCGAATGAAATCCGCTGAGCGACAACTAAAGGGCTAGTATCTGCGTTGTTGAAAAAAGCACAAAGCACGGCTACGTAAGGCCGCGTGAGTTCATGTATCTCCAAAGTTCTTCCGGAGAATCTTGTTTAGGAATGAGACCCACCGAATCCCACCAAAACGCTTTTGATGAGCACGCGCCCTGTGGCACCAGCATCTCGCCTTGACTCCATTCTCGGTGTGCCAGATGGATAGCACCGGCCGACCGTTACATCTCCAGAATCCAAAAAGAAAGTGACCATCCTGCAGGGGAACTGCCCAGAGTGTGAGAATGAGGCAGGTTCACCTAAGGATACTGTGCATTTCACCTATCAGATTAGATTGCGAAAACCACTGCATGCATCTGCGATGAACTTCATTCAGCTGGTGCCACGATCGGCCTTGCTGAAGAAGAGATGTGAGCAGGATTGGCCCGGTTGCCTGATGATCCACTGTTTCACGACAACCGCACTGGCGGGCTACTCCAACGTCTTTCCAACTACTATAAACACTGTTTGGATGGATCATGATGCATGCGGAAGAGGTGCGCAAAGGTGCCGAACCCAACCTATGTCACGATCCGTCCAAACCGGGCGATTGAACCAAAAAAAACACGTCGGTGAACGTCCAAAGGTCGTTCGTCGTTCTTTTTTTCTGCAGCCCAGCGGCAGGAGGATGAACTTCCGGGCATCGTCCAAGCGAGTGAAGTCCCAAATGACCACAATGGACCCTGCCTGGACGCATCGGAGCGGACGCCCGACAGGCCGGGGCGACAGGCGGACAGGTGGGGCGTCCGGGCCCCGACGTGGCTGAAAGGCCAGATGCAACACATACAAATTGGTAGCGATGCCCTTGCTCCTAATAGCGATGCACTTGTTACTAGTAGCT